TTCTGCTTCATGGGATCACAGATTTAGAGCTAGAAGGGCCTTTAACAGGTCAACCAGTACAATCCATTATTCTAGAGATGAATCATTCAACAAGCTAATTTTATTAAGCACTCTCTGTGTCAGGCATGGTGCTAACAAGTACTCTACTTAAAAAAACAAAAAAGAATTAGCCACAGCCCTCAAGAGCTTGACACAAAATAGATACAAAGTAACCTTAGATGGAAAGAAAGTAGCATGGGGAGGGCAGGAACCAGGAAAGGCCTTCTAAGAAGAAAGGTTAAGTGACTAGTAAGGTCCCACAGTCTATAGCCTCAGAGCTGGGATTCTGTTAGTATTATTACCACACTCTCAGTACCAAGGCACAGGATTTTAGGGGTAATCTTGGACATCTCCAAATCCTTCAACCTGTACATCCAGCCTCTTGTACAATTCCTATTTCATAGCAGGCAATCAAGTGTTTCTTAAAGTGAATCAGTCAGCAGGTGTTAAGTCTTTCTTCATCACATGCCTATCATCAGGGCAGGCTTCCTTCTCATCTCCCTAAAAATACCAGGTTCTCCCTGCTCTAAATCATCCTGCACAATATTACCACAATAGTGTTCCTGAAGCACAAAATCACGGAATTCAAACTTTAGAGTTAAATAGGACCCCAGCAGACATACAGTCCAAACCACAACCAAAACGGAATCCCCAGTATATAACACCCAACCAGTGATCATCCAGCCCCCATCTCCATAATTTTTCCTGACATCAAGCCTGAATTTTCCTCCTCCAACTTTCACCTATTGCTGCACTCAGGGACCAAGTAAAATAATTCTAATCTCTCCTTCAAATGACAATCTCCCTTTCCAATATCTGAATATATCAATTATGTCTTATTTCCTATCTCTCAGCCCATCCCTCCCCCCTTCTACTGTCCAAGCTAAATAGCTCCAATTCCATCAAATGGTCTTTATGTAAGATGGACTCAAGGCTTGGATATCCTCTTGACTCTGTAACTTATCAATGTCTTTCTTAAACTGTTGGTGTCCAAAACTGCACACAATACTCCAAATGTGGTCTAAGCAGAACGAAGTGACTGGCACCTCTTTATTTTCCCCTGAATGCTGTGTCTCTCTTAATAGAGCCCAAAATCATATTGGGTTTTTTTTGGCTGCCAACTCTTATTGAGCTTGTACTCCACTAAGCCCCTAGATCTTTTTCAGACATACTACTTGCTAATCACACCTCCCCTTTTGTTTGCACATGAAACTGACTTTTTGAAACTAAGTGTAAGACTATGTTTATTCCCAATGAACTTCATCTTAACAGTCAGTCTAACACCTTAGTCCAAGGTATTAGGGGACCCAAGCTCCACAGATAGATTTCAGGGTGTATATGAATATGGATGGAGAAAAAATTATATATTTATTTTCAAAAACCTATCTGAAATTTAACATTTCCTTCAATAATGATTTTTTAAAAATTATTCTGAGAAAGAGTTCAAACAATTCAGTAGACTGCTTAAGTGGTCAATAGCACAAAAAAGTCAAGAACTCTGGCTCTAGCTTCCCCCCCACCCACCAGGCAATTGGGGTTAAGTGACTTACCCAAGGTCAATCAGCTACTAAGTGTTAAGTGTTTAGTCTGAGGCTGACATTTGAACTCAGGTCCTCCTGACTTCAAGGGCCGGTGTTCTATCCACTGCACCGCCTCACTTCCCCTTGCTCTAGCTTCTTAATACCTATTTAGATCCTGTCTTCTAACACACTGTGTTAGCTATTCATCCCAACTTTTAGTAATGTGCAAATCAGATAAGCATGACATCTATGCTTTTATCCAGGTTACTGTCAAAAATGTTAAACAAGATAGGGCCAAGCATTTTTAAGTGTGTTATCTTCCTGTTCCAAAATCTTTAATGCCTCTCATAGCCTAACCAACATAAGCCCAAATTCCTGGCTTTCAAAGCCTTCTAAACTGACCATCTCAGTCTTTTGTGAAAAGAAATGTGATAAAACAGAATGCTAGATTTAAAGTCAGAAGACCTGGGCTGGAATCTTGCCTTAGACACTACCTGTGTGACCATGGCTAAGTCACATCCTTGTAAAGCTTAGGTTTCCTCATCTATAAAACCGGAATAGTACAATACTTACCTCATAGGGAGGTTGGAAGGAAAGAGCTTCGCAAACTGTATAAGTGAGTTCCTTTTACATGATAACAACAATAATAAAATTTTTTACTACTTCCAAAAATGAATTCTATATTCTGAAAAACTTGGATGATTTGCTGTTCACATTTGCTAATACCATTCCCTCTTTTTATAATGATCTTTCACCAATTGTTTTTATTTGTCAAATCTTTCCCACCCTTCAAAGGCCAATTCTACATGTCTCTATGATGCTTTCTCTTGTCACCTTAGGTAGAAATCATAGATTAGAACCAAAAGAGGACTCTTGGATTGAATTACCTATTTTCCCCCTCATTTTACAAAGGAAACAAGGCCCAGAAAAGTTAAGTCAGTCTAAAATGGTACCCAATCAATAGCAGAAATGGGTCTTGAATTTTATAAGGTTTTCTGACCCCAAGTCCACTGTATCATACTGGTTCCCCTTCTCTTCTGTACTCCCATAGTAAGTACTTAAGTCTGTACCACTCCTATGAAATATCACATAGTTTCACAGAACATGTATTTGTCTTATCTCCCTTTCTGGATGGTAAGCCCCCTATCTCATATACAACCACGTAGTGTACCATACTCTCTGTTCAATAAGTATTTGTTTAATGAACAAGAATGCCTATAATGTTAAATCAGAGTTAGCAAATGCTTTTAAAATATGTCCCAAGTCACACATTACTTATTTAATTTCTTCTATCCTTTCTTCTTCCACAACACTCCCTGGGATATCCCTTTGAAAACAAGTTAGCAACCATATGTTGATCACCATGTCCAAATCTAAACTGACTTCTAATCTTATTCTCTATCCCCTTGTATAGCTCAGAAACTTCAGGTTTCACTTTAAAAAACACACACAATTTATGTTCCTTCCACTGACTTTAAAAACATCAGGTTTCTCTCAGACTCATAACACAGAAATAAATTGAGTCTCTTCCTCCACTTCATAAACAAGAACTTGATGCTGTTGTGACTTCTATCTTTTTCTATAACTCATGATTTTACTTTTCTTCCATGAACTCAACTGGGCTTTGCATTTTCCCCATCTTCAACACTATATACACATTTATTGTAAATGATTGGTTTTTTAAAATGTCATCTTCTTTAAGCTGTTGCTTTTTCTCAGTATGCTTTGAAAATAGTGGAAAAATAGATTATAATGTATTTAAATTTTTAAAGATTAAAGATTCTAACATTTTAAAGATTAAACACAATCATAATATTTAAGCTTTACAGTACAATATGATCTCCAAGGCACTGAAAACCATGGTCCCTTGCTTCCAAAATGAAAAAATCAATACAAAGCTTACTAGCTCTCTCAAATTATGCCAAAAGCAGTTTCCACTTATAATCTGAATGTATGAGAAGTTTCTACCAATTGTACTTATATAAAGTTTCAAAAGCAGAGCACCACCTCAAAAGGAAAGTTACCAAGAAAAATATTATCACCTCTATTCAATGTATATTAACCTCTACTTTGCAGACCTCATAACAGTTTTGTGAAAAGTCACCAAGTCCATAAGACAGGCCCATATAGAAAGCAGACAAAGACAATGGAGAACATGTAACTTAAAAGTTCTTTGCAATGTTAAGCTAAATTTCAGTAAGTGTATTAACCTCAGATTAAGCTCAACCTGTTTTTGTTTTTCCACCTAAGACTTTTCTTAATGCTTCATTATTTTTTAAAACATCACTTTCACTTTTCAGTAACACCTCACTCAGAGCTCCGCCCCCCCCCTTAAACAAAGCAGTACGGTTAAATAAAACAGACCAATACACTGACAAAAATCTGACAATGTACTTAGACCTCCACAAAGCAGGGAAGGAATGTTTTCACATTGATCAGTGTTCTGCTGATCACTGAGTATTCTGGGCAGCCACAGCAATTCAGAGATTAGAGGAGAAACTCCGCAAGAAAGTACAGGCGCTTACCTAAACTACTTATTTTCTCAAGAAAAAGAAATCTGATTTTTAAGTTTAGTGAGTAAAGACCCTGTAAGGAGCTGTCTGCATTTAAATGAACCAACCCCCGAAAACAGTCCAGGACAGCTGGAAGCGCAACATCCCCTCAACGCCTTCTCGTGGTGCCGACCCCAAACTCCAAAACTTCTTGATTTGCAAAAGTTTCCTTTTGCATCCCCACCGGCTACACATCGTCTCAAAGACAGGGGATCAGGGAGGCATCTACCTTCCATTCAGGGGCTAAGAATGGGAAAAGGGACTGCGCAAAGCGGAGTGGGGGAAGCCCCAGGTACAGGAGGGCAACACAGACCAAAGCCGGGGGGGGGGGAGTCCTGCTTGCCCCCCGAGATTACCTCCAATCTGTCCTGACTATATCTTATTTGTACATAGTTGTTTGCAGGTTGTCTGCCCAATTAGACTGGTAGCTCCCCAGGGGCGGGGCCTGTTTTTTGCCTTTCTTTGTATCCTCAAAGTTAACACCGTCCCTGGCAAGCAACCGGCATTTATTAAGCGCCTACTATGTACTAGGCACTGGGCTAAGAGCTAAAGATACAATGAAAAGAAAAAAAAAACAAACCAACCCTAGTCCCTGCCCAGAATAATTGTTGATTTGCTTTGGGGGAGGGGGTCTGTGGAAGCCAAACCCCCACGAGCCGCAGCCCCGGGACCTCCCCCCTTCAGCCCAGGCGCCCCGCCCCCCCGGGCCCAGGTCGAAGCTCCCTGGGCGGCGACCTGTCTGCCCAGAGCTCTCCCGCGGGGTCCAGCCTTGGGGGGACCCCGAGACGGGGCCGCCGCCGCCGGGGAGCGGGGGAGGCAGGGCCCCTACACCCCCAACCTGGGCACGGCGTCTCCCCCCACGCCCTCCTGCCCCGGCCCCGCCACTCACGTTGCTCCATGAGCGCCAGGACAGCGGGGCGCGGCTCAGGGGGCGCCGAGCCCTCAGGCTCCTTCCCGGGCTGGAGGGGGCGGCTGTACCCCCCGCGATGGAGCCGCGGCGGCGGCGGCGGCAGCGGCTACCAGGCCTCACTCTAGCCCAAAGCTCAGCTGAAGTGCTTCCGGTTGAGGGGGTGAGGAGTAGGGAAGGAGTCTGGCACCGGAACTTCTTGGGGAATGGTGGGCGGGGGCTCGGGGAAATGGGCGGGACCCCAGAGGGGCGGGACCTCTTGGAAGGACCGGCTCCTGACGTCGGGGCGGGGCCATATCCGACCCCGCCCAGGCTGGAGCGGCCTGTGGGCGTCTCTCGGGATCCCTTGCCCGCGGCCCTGGCCCCCGGGGAGGGCGTGCGGGGAGTGTCCCGGCTTCACTGCGGCCTGGCCTTCGGGGCTCCTGCGCCCGTGGGGACCTGCCCGCTCCATGGAACAGCGAGCTGGGCACCGGATCCGAGATGTAGAGCTGGAAGGAGCCTTGGAGGGAGATCAAATAGTCCAGGGGTTCCAATAGTCCAGGGGTTCCTAACCCGAAGACTTGGACTTAAAAAAAATTTCATATAACTTATTAATACTCCTAAATTAAACTGTATTAATTATTCATATTCATTTGTATCGACAGTTGTAATTGATTTGCATTAAGCCATCAATTTTGGCTTGTAAAATAAATTATTAATATTAATCTGTATTAATATTTTTCAAATGAACAATTATTGATATTAATTTACATACATGGCCATTAGCTGTGACATATATTAATTATTCACACAGATCTATATTAATAATTAATGCTGATTTGTATATCAAGTGTTAATTTATATTTATATTATTAATGTTAACAATTATTTGTATCAATTTACACCAGTGACCATTAATGATAATTTATAGTAACAATTATTTACATTGATTTCTATTAATAATCAATGGTGATATCAATCGTTAATGTATATTGTTCATTATTAATATTACAAATTATATCAATTTGCATGGGTAGCCATTAATGTTAATTTCTACAAATACTTATTAATATTAATATACATGGATATTTATTAATATACATTGATGCTCATTAATAATAATTTATATTATCAATTGCTTACATTGCCCTGTATTAATAAGTAATGTTGATTTATATAATCATTTAAAGTATTAGTTTATATCATCATCAATGTTAGCAGTTCTTGATATTAATTTACATTGGCAGTCATTAATGCTAATTTATATGAACAATTACTAATATTGATCTATATCGATAAGTATTTGTTTTGATGTTATTGTTTGGTTTACTCTGTGATCCTATTTTTTTAATACCTTTAAAAATATTCTGAGAAGGGACCCATAGGTTTCAGCAGACTGCAAAAAGGAATCCATGACACAAAAAAGGATTAATAACCCCTCATCTCGTCCAACTCTTTCACTTTACAAATGAGGATGATGAGACCCAGAGAAGTCAAGGGATTTTACCAAGGCTGCACAAGTAGTGCCAGAAAACTTGGATTCTGTCAACAATATTAACCCCCTCATCCAGTCTTCACCCTTACAATTTCAGGGAGACCTTTGTTTCCTTCAGACCCTTCAGCCTATATATCCAAGGTCTTAGGTCCTGGCACTGAGCCTTGTTCACTGTAGGCACTTAAGTAATTTTCAAATTAAATCATTCAATGTATTTTCAATTTGTTACAAGGGCTTTGTTTTCCCACTGGGGGAAGGGAGAGAAGGGATTGAGATAATATAGCCAAAAAAATAAAAAGGAAAAAAATAGAAAAAAGAAAAGAGGGTCTTGAAGCATCTTTTTTTTTAATGTACAGAAGGAAAATCTGAAAGAATCACAGACAAGTAGAATATCTTTGAAAGTTATATATTGACTTTATTATATTTGTGTTTTCTATATAATATGCATATATATTTAAAAGAAAAGTGGGCTGTATATAACAGGTGTACAGTTTCACATATGGTCCTCTTCTATTTATGTATTTATATACATACACATATATATGTATGTATAAATACGCATATATGTATACACATATACACAAATTCCCATTTTACTTAGTGTTTAAATTTAGAATAAATAAATTGAATCAGTGACCAAGTACTGTTAAGTCTTTATAATGTCTCTTGAATCCCCCTTTCCCTTCAGGGGTAGGGAACCTGCTTTACTTCAAGCCCTTATCATCTCATACCAAGACTATTGCAACTTTAGAATCAGAAGGGACTTTAAAAATCACTTAATTCAAACCCCCATGCCACATGCAAGCACATAGAAACTCATGCTCTCTGTCTGTCTCCCTCCCTCCTCCCCCTCCCTCTTTCCTCCTCTCTTTGTGTCCCTCCCTCCTTCCCTCCCTCTCCTTCTTTCCCTCTCTCCCTCTTCCCTCCTCCTCTTCCTCCTTTTTTCTTCTCTCTCTCTCTCTCTCTCTCTCTCTCTCTCTCTCTCTCTCTCTCTCTCTCTCTCTCTCTCTCTCTCTCTCTCTCTCTCTCTCTCTCTCTGTCTCTTTGCCTCTCTCTGTCTCTCTCTCTCTCATTTGTAGAAGGAAAGGAAGGGGCTTGATCTTGGAAGATCTTGTAGGAGGGTGTGGTAGCCAGGGAAGCAGGTATTTCTGCCAGCCCTAAATCCCAAGATCCTCTAGTGAATATAAGATAAAAACATAGATAAGCACTACACAGGGATGAGATGTGGAAAGGGAGTCCTTCTAGTGGGATCTGTGAAAGCTCCCCTAAGCTTATAGTATACTTATGGCTAAGCAATCTTCCTGATGTAAGCAAAAGACAATTCAATAGCTTAGCAAAATAGGTGACGAGAAAAAATCTTTCCTACTATAGATATGCAGACACACTCTCCCACAAGTTTTCACATCAGTGGTGGTAAAGAAGAACATTCATTGTTAAAAAATTCTTTTTACATGTAATTGGGAGAAAATAAAATACTAAATAAATAATTTAGAAATACTAAATAATTTTTTAAAAGACCCCCCCCAAAAAAAGAATATTCATACCTGGGGAAGATGTATAGCAGCACATGTATGGAGCCTCCTTGGCCATCCATGGGAACTCATGTGGCTAGGGAGCATTATAGTGAGAGGTACTCATGCTGTTTAGGTGAAGACTCTGTTAACACCCTTCTCTGCCTTCTGTGTTGCTTCTTTTTCCCTCAGGTGATGTCACACTGTCAGCAAGCACTGTCTACTGAGCTAGGGCCCCCTGTAACTCTTAACTCTGTTGATATCTATCCTGATGCTATGGGGCTGTACTGCTACATGTTGGATTTCAACTGCTGTAAAACCTCCTCCCCAGTAGGGAGGTCTTAGGGAGGGGGGATATTGTCTACCAGTTCTTAGGGGGCTTCTTGGTGATTTTAGTCCCCACCCAGCTAAATAGAAAAGTCCGCAGGAATCTGAGTCTGTTCCTTGAATTGAATTCCTCTTGCTGCCACTGGGATTTACGATCATAACCTGCAAAAAAAGGAATCCTTTCTACAATATGTGTCTGTCAAGTGGTCTGTCTTCGAGCTTTTGCTAGAAGACCTCCAATGATGGGGAACCCACTACCTCTTAATTAAGGCAGACCTTTCCACTTTAGGATCGCTGAAATTATTGGCAAGTTTTTCCTTATATCTATCCAGTCTAAACTGGCTGCTTTCCTCTGTAACACACTGCTCTTAATTTGGGCCCTCTTGGGTGAAACAGAACAAATCTCATCCCTCACGTCAGCTCTTAACTATTTGAAAACAGCTGCTATACTAGGTGTGTGACCCTGGGCAAATCACTCAACCTTGTTTGCCTCAGTTTCCTCATCTGTAAAATGAACTGGAGAAGGAAATGGCAAACCACTCCAGTATCTTTGCCAAGAAAACCTCAAATGAGGTCAAGAAGAGTCAGATGTGACTGAAATAACTGAATTTCCTCTGACTCTTCTACAAGGTAAACTTAAAAATTCCTTCACCCAGTCCTTATTTAACATGGATTTGAGGCCATTTGCTATCTGGCTTGCCTTCTTCTGAATGCCCTACAGCTAATCAATGTCCTTCCTAAAATGTGGTACCCAGAACTGATCACAATACTGCAGATAACATCTGACTAGGGCAGAGTAATACGACTTAATACTTCATTTTTGGAAGCTAAACCTCTTAATTTGTTGTTGTTCAGTCATGTCTGGCTCTCCATGACCCCATTTGAGGTTTTCTTGGCAAAGATACTGGAATGGTTTGCCGTTTACTTTTTCAGCTCATTTTACAGATGAGGAAACTGAGGTAAAATGGATTAAATTAGCTGCCCAGGGTCACACATCTAGAGTCCCTTTCTGAACTCCGATCTTCCTGCCTTCAGGCCCAGTACTCTAACTAGTGCACCACCTAGCTGCCCCAAGTCTCTCTTAATGCAAGCCACCTAAACCACTAGTGCTTTTTAGAACAACTACTTCCTAACCTTGCCTCCCCCATCTTGTACTTAGAATATCACCTTGGGAGCAAGACTAGAAAGGGGTTAGATGGAACTAGTAATTATTGCTCCATTTCCCCTCACTGTGGCTTTCACTGGTGACTTTCGTCCTACTCCTCCTTCCCACTCAACTCCACCCCCAGCAACCAAACCATTATTTTCTCTTTGGTTGCAATCTACACCAGGATTCACAGTTCCCATACCAATTGGTTTTCTAGAAAGATCACAGGATTTAGAAGTGAAAGATCCTGTTGGAATCCTGGCTTTGCTATTTGCTGATTTTGTGCAAATCCTAGGATGTAGAGTTGGAAGGGACTTCAAATATCATCTACTTCACACACACACCATACCCCCTCCCCTTAATTTTACAGATAAGGAAAATAAGGCCCAAGTGAGGTTAGCTGACCTGCCTAGGGTTATACAGATAATTAACAGCAAAGACAGGATAGGAACACAGTTCCTCTGATTCAAGAGCCATTTTTCTTTCCAATATAATAATACAATCCCTGCGAAATGAAGTCACATTCACTCAGCTGCCCCTTCCCACATCTCTTGCATCCATTTCCTTATCTCTATCCAGAGGGCCACCACTTAAATTCAGGCCTTCATTGCCTCTCACCCAGACTGCAGCAAGAGACTCCTTCCTTGTTTGTCACCTGATTTCTAACATACCTCCTTTCCAATCCTTCCTCCATGGAACTACCAAA